ATCCATGCCCGGGTGGCCTCGTCCCTATGCACTAGTTTTAATCTTCACTCGGCCGCCGCCACAGGGCATATTGGGATTCCAAAACCACCAGTTTTTCGGCTAGTTGAGGAAGTAAAAACGTGAGGTGAATGAAACCTTGGAAATGTTACCACAGGGGCCCGATACAATCTGTTTGTGTAACCCATTGTTATTTTATAGTGAATGTACCAGATTTACCGTTTGCCTCACCTACAGCGATATATTGCTGACTATGTATATAAATCAATGAGAAATCAACGTCGAGTTACCTTATCTGTGGTATATAGTCGTCCTTTTCCCTCAAAAATGATTTTTGAGTGATTTTAAATAAGTTTGAGTTGGTCGTTGACTGTCACTTACGATAGACAGACACAGGTAAGGTAAGTCAACGTCTATTTATCATTGATTTATATACATAGTCGGCAATATATCGCTATAGGTGAAGCAAACGGTAAATCTGGTACATTTACTATAAAATAACAATCGGCTTTACAAACAGATTATATGGGCCCCCTGTGGTGTTACATTAAGAGGAAAGAGTGAATAGGTTTTGTCGGTGAATGGGTGGGTTTCGTGCTATTCATTTTTCGACTTAACCAAATTTGTCGCCCAGACTTTGTTTTTCGATGCGGAGTCTAATTATCGGCTAAAGGAGTTAATCTAATTAACTAGACCCACCTTGCAGCGAGCTGCATTATCCACAACCAAAGATTTGAATCTCAAAGGCAGAGATTCCTTGAAAGAGGGAGAAACTGTCTAGAAGAATGCAACGTGCACACAGCATTGGTGAGCTTTAATGCAAGGTTTAGAACAAAACGGGAGACAGTATGAAGGCATGGTTACTGAACTTTAGAAATGTCATCGACTGCAAATGATTTTGAAGAGTTAACATAGCAAAAAAAGGAATGATCACGTACGTAAAATAATAGATAAATGTTCGGCTGTGTTATCATTCTATAATCTGTCAATAACAAATGAAAAAAGTCACCGATCGTCGATTACATTGACTTTTGAACATAAGAAAACAAAAGTTTCTCAGTTAGCAGGAAATAGCATTCATGGTTGTGGTGATTTCCACGAAAATTAACCTGAGAGTGTTAGACAAAGACTAATTTCTTTTGGCTCTTTGTTCATTCAACCAGAGTCTCAATGATGGAAAACAAACAACAGAAGTTCTAGTCTGACGTCTTTTTTTCTTTTTAAATTTGTAGACA